TTTTTGATCCTTGAAGATCGTTCAGCACGACATTATTGTTGTGCTTGTGGTATTTTTAGTTTCAACTTTTTTCGGCATTTTCTAGTTTGGTGGTTCCAATATTCCTACTTGAATCTGTTGAATCACCCTTAGGATATGTTGCCTGCCTTTTTAAATTGGGGTCTTTTGACGTCTTATCTGTGATACGCAGGCTTCATTAACCTCTGATCCCCTTTCAAAATTCCCATTTTATTTAGTTCCATCCATTTGTTTTCTCGTTTAGGGGCATACGCTTTTTTATTACTGGGGACCATACGCCGCTTTTCATGAATGGCATGGAAAGTGTCACATTGGAGGTTCCATGATAACCGCCATATGAACACATCTGCGGATGTTTCTAAATTCAAAATTTTACTATTTCATGTTTGAATGTTGAATTCTGCTTAAGCCGGTGCTAGGGGGCGTGGACGGTAACTTTCACTTTCCAGTACCGTCCGTATACAGGCTCAATCAAACCGAGCCTGCAACATTTTCAATTTTGCCGTGTTGGGCTTTCTTTAGGGAATCTGTATTTATCTATTTTACACAATCTGCCCATATAGAAACTGTTATATAAAGGTTATCAAACATAGTATCGCCTTATGCAAAATCGTTTCAAATACACAACAGTTAATATCATATCATATGCATCAGCTTGAAATTATCTATTTGTAAAATAGTTACAAAGATATGATAAATATTGTCATAATCATGTCATTTAATGCATTTGCAGGCTTATATTTCCTGGAAAACAATATGTAAACAAATAAATAAATGATCCTCTGGAAGCATTAAAAAATTGTTGGACAACAAACTGTATTAAGAAATGAACACATTTTCTTAAACCTATCAATCATGATAACATACCTTCACATTCTATAGTATTGATGTTTTTATAAACAGGTGAAAATCCCTTTTTACAAGTACATTCCCACTTCGTATCAATTCGACATGTCTTGTTTCCATTTATACATTGAAAATCATTGTTCTTATATTCACAAATGGACACATCTAAAATGGGAAAAAAAATAATATAAGAAAAAGTAATTAATGTTGCATTGACTTGTTTTTGTCATTAATTTACATTTAATTAAACCATCGCATACCCATTAATAAAATGTTATTGTTACAAGTTACAAGTATTGAAAGTATAATTCATTGGTTTTCAGGAGATATATTTTTAACAAGTCTTATAAAAAGAAAAGTTTGAATTGATTAAATTGGAAAACGAAAACGTTACTCCAGAAAAGAAAAAAACACCTTCATTCTTAAAGCTATAAAATGATCAACCATTGTTCTATCTTTATCAAAAAGATAAACTCGGAACCTGACATAATCAGAGTTTCAATAATCTTTATATGTTTGATTCAAATAAATGATGACTACATTAACTACATTAAATAATAATGATAAGCACACGAAAGTTTTTTTTACATAGTTGAGAAATATGATATCCATCCTTTTAATGTAAGTACATTATACATATATCTGTAATCCAGGGTGACACATTTTTGTTTTGTTTTGCTATATTAAGCTTAATGTGTCATCTATCAAAAAGGAAGACACGGCTGGTATTCATATACTCGTATAACAACACAGAAACTATGAACGTAAAGTTGTATGTCATTTGAATTCTTTAAATTTGTTTCGTGCAATGCAAAACACCTGCTGAACAGGGAGATGCTAAAACTGTAAGCAAGAGCTAATGTATCATTTAATTGATCAAAAACAAATAAAAAAATGCAAAAATCTTACCTTTACATGAAAAGTTATCTTTGTCAGTTGATACCGGTATGGAATAACTATTGTTACATTTACATGACCAATTACCGATACTATTAACACACTTTTCGTTATTGCATTTTCCTTCTATTTCACACTCGTTTATGTCTGAAGAATAAAATACTTGATTATTTACGTCAACAAGTATGTAAACAAAATGTTCTTTTAACTGATTTTAACTTCATTTCTTTTAATGTTACTGTTTGTGCTTTCTATTTGACGTATTTGTTGGCATTTCTAAGTTTAATATGAATTGATCAGCCGTCTTCATGCATTCATATCTATATACTCTTACATGTCTTAGTGAAGTAATGCAATGTACGTACTAACCTGACATATACATAAGGCAAAGATGATATTCTTCCAAATTGAAATATAATTTATATACGCAATATTAAAAGTTGAACATGTAATAGTTTGAGATGTTCTTTTTGTGTGTGGGGGGATGGGGTACACGTCATATGGCGAATTTCCAACTTAACAGGTAGAGGAATATATTAAAGGGTCCGTGCATCATATCAAACGTCTGAGCGGAACCACCGACATTCCGTAAGCTACCTAGACAGTGTGTTGCTATTAATTTGAAATATGTAGAGAAGGTTCGTGCTGCCATTCTTTTCAAAGACTTGATATAACTGAAAAAGGCACAAAATTTTCAAAAAATATAATAAACATAAACGCTTACCAGTACAATATTTCATAGACACGGAAGTTTTATTAAACCCTTCCTTGCAGTCACATAAAGTTGATCCGTCCTTTTGCCTACAGGTAGTTGTGACCTTGTCACAGTTGCCATTTGAACCAAATGCACAAAGCTTATTATCAGAATCTATATCACAAGGTATATACAACATTTAAATTAAATACACAAAAAAAAACGAAATGATCAAGCTATATATATGTGTGACACGCGACATACTAAGAAAGTTTATATCTATAATAATAGTACCTCGCGTTTGCATTCGCGATTGTTATTGGATAATCGTGACGTTATATGAATTAAATGCAAGGCTGCTGCCAATAAATGAACTCAATAATTCTTTCTTCAAATAAAGGAAGTTTGCTGTAACATGAATTTGCCACAACAATTCTAAATATGCTAAATGGCCGTTTTATTTATGATCACTCGTTTATATCAGGTCACAATTCTTTAATACAAATAATAGACAGGTTATTAATAAACAATTGCAACATTGTCAAAAAATATAATTATATACTCAAGACGGATTGTCATAATGCATAATTAACATGTATTGAAGCTAAAAGCAAACATAATATGCAATATACATCGTTTATTGTTTAGTTTTTAGCTACCTCGGAATAGTTTGTGTAACAATTTTGCCTTGATACACAATTACTCTTATAATTATAGTGAATATTTGATTAGTGTGTCCATGATATGTGATCTAAATGAAACCAAAAAGAGAAAGAAAAACTGTATGTTATTAAAACTTACCATTAAATATGACATATGAGTTATTTTCGAAAACAAGTGAGCTTGTGTTTGTCCGATAATCTCCTTGACTCAAAACCTTTTTCAAAACATTAAACAACCTTCCGCTTTCAACAGTTTCTCCGATCCTTAACAGAAACGTGGCGTTGTATTGTCGGAACGAGCTATGACTGAAAATAAGTTTATAACCGGTAATGCATAACAATAAAACTGTTATGACAAACTTTTCATTGACACATCAGAATTAAAAAAATACAGTTGATTACAATTTAAAACATATATAGTATGCGTTAGATTCTGAAAAACTATTTAGTTGACAAGAATTTGTTCTGGAACAAATGCTTGAAATACTTAAATAGAATACATGTATCGAAACTTGTTTATATTTATTTACCTTATAAATGTCTTTATTTACCTTTTAAATGTCATTTATCCTTTACATATCAATATTCAATTATTTTGTAACTGTTGGCAATTATTTGCTGAGCTTATGTAAAGTTACAGATATGGATTTAGATGCTATAATTTAAACATATTGTTTCTACAACTAGATTGCAGTAACGAATGAATCAGTGATTGAACTCCGTCTTTGCTTTTATATTGTTATTGACCAAAGCTCGGTTACAATATAAATGATGATGAATTGAATAATGCTAATCAATAAGTTAATTCATTAAAAAGTTAAGTGGTTTCATGCAAATGGCACATAGTTTACAGGTTTACTCCTTGACTGTTGGCAAAAACAATCTTGTAAATCGTTTTCCCTGGGATTTCTACTTTATTTTTGCCAGTTTAAAATGTGGCGCCATGGATTATCATAATCCCGTCAGGCACCCATTTTATATAAGTGAAGTGAAACAAACCAGTGTTTATTTCCTGCTCAAAGATACGATTTGGGTGAAAAATTAAACATCAGCAACAATGACAACATTATAAACTACATTATAATTATACTAAAAAATCTACATCAATCAGTTTTACAAATTTACAAAAGACCATGTTGGCACATGTTAAATGAAATAATTGCATTACCTTATGTTTTTAAAAAGACCCAGAACTCTTGCATTGACAAATAGACTGCTCATTGGCACGGTATAAGAATCGTTATCGTTCTTCGGATCTTCATAGAATGTTTTCAACTATCGATGAAACAGAAACAATTCAACAATATTTAAATTGCACACGATATACCCGGTAAATGGTTTGACCACTTTACATTTAATCCAAAGTCATGCATTTAAAATTCTGATTATAGCATTAGAAATATTTATTAATAAACCCAAATTCTGATAAAATAATAAACATAATTGCTCTGCCTTCAGATATATGAACAGCTTTTTATATTTGTTTGATAAACTATTTAATTTTAACATTTAAATGAACGAATGAGAAGAGTTTAACGTTATCTATTTTACCTGATTTTGTATAAATTCAACAATATTTGTCTTCTTTGATGGATCATGATCAGCAACACTTATATTTCCAATGTAGCTGTAATTTCCTAAAATTTAGATGCATCAAAATGATTTACTCAAATGGTTACCACATGACCTTGTGGCTATCGCGTCGGACTAGGTGTTGCCGTAGCATTCCTGAAGAAGAAACTTCATACTCATAGTAAACTTTTATTGGTTTAAAAGGGTGTGTCTATAAGTTTGCGGCTTCCTTCACAATCGATCTCAATTCACATTTTTTTGAAGTGTAAACCATTTGAAAACTGTCACAATAAAAAAATATATTAATAAACCACGACATCAATAATTTCGGACAAATTCATTCCAGGTTTCAAATGCCAAAGCACTTGAAAGGTTGTCTTCAAATGAAACTTTAATGTAGATTCGTTTACAATGGACACAATTGCCGTAAGTATTTCCAATATTTCTAAAATTCGAAATAAATTAATCACTTGGATATTTTAACAAAATAGTTCTGGAACAATAAATTCTGATAGAGCTGTTAGTGATTTCTCTATAGCACTTGCATGATGAATAACAATATTTTGCTGTAGAATTTTTTATCTTCTTTGTATAGATATCGAATCATGTATCTTTAACCCTAAACAATGATCACTAATTTTATGGAACAATCCAAGCTTGCATATATAATGAATAGACATCTATTGTCTTTTCATACTTTGCAATCGGCTGGGTATAATTTCTTGAAGTAAGTGTTAAATATAACGAACAATAACAACAAACGTACCCTGACATCTATATACCGGATATGAATCATTTCCTATATTTTTCCATAGTCTGTCGGGATTGCAAGTACAATTCCACGAGCCTATCGAATTTCTACATACTCCATAGATACAACGCTTTTTGATTGTGTTGTTCGCTGTAAATTCTTTACATTCATCTATATCTGTGATAAACAACATGGTAAAAATGCATCCTAATCATGATTTGGTGAACTGTCAAATACATGAATAATTATAATATGTATTGTATTTTACGACAATAAATCATGATTATTCTTTTTTCAAGAAATTCAGAAGCTAGAATATGAAACAAACAACGAAATTGAAACATTCTTTCAGTTTAGAAACAGAACTACACAATATGGTAGTAACATTTATACACGTACCAGTTTCTGTTGGACCACTTGAAAAAGAAAATGATATTTCACGTAGTGATACACACTATATTTTACTGGCTGGCATGTACAAAATCGAATATACCAAAATCAAAGACGGGAAATGTGTTTGTAGACAATATTTCTGTAGTGTTACACGTATGTTCAATATTAATGACGAAATCAAATTTATCTCAAGTATTTTAACATTAACCTTCAATCCCTCCAAAAAATGAATTAAAAGATAACTATACCGTTGCAGTATTTGTATTCTACATTCGCAAAACTAGGTTTATATCCTATTTTGCATGTGCAATTAAATGTTCCGTCATCATAATCATTACAATTAGTACTGTCCTTGGCACAATCTGTTTTTCCTGGAACTGTGCACCTGCCGCCTTCTGTGGCTGTATATTGTAACGTAAAACTTGTTATAAGTTTGTCAAACACAAGGTCTAATTTAAGTTTAAGATATCAAGCATGTATAGACGTAATTTGAATCAAACACTCAAATCTTGACATCTTTAATTATGAAGCAAACATGTTCAAATATAGCCACTCTGTAAAAGGCCTGGATCAAAGACATCTTATGAAGATCATCTCAATCATTAACAAGTTTTATCAATCAGACAATTATTTATTCATGCTTTCACCAAAGGAAATAGATTGCAGAAGATAGAAATGTTTCGGGAATTTCCTTATTCTCTTAATTGGTAAATTTATAAATAAACTTACAGTTATTTACTTTGGCTTCAGCAGAATTTATGTTTATTGTCACCTCACCAAGCACTACAGGCTTATCATTCGAGATATTTGCTTTATATTTTTCTACTGAACCTTTTAACCTTTCAGACATGGAAGTGTAGTCTGTTTTATTTTTACAGTGCACGATGTAGTTCACTTGTAACAAATATTGTTTTTGAGAATCTTGTCTTTTCGTACGCCTTTTCTCGCTTCATATGAAAAATTCAACACAGTGAACGTATTAGTGTTATTAGTTTTGATTTAAAGGTTGTTCTTTTATGCCAATACTGCAAATACTTTAGATTAATTCATCTATTAATTTCTTAAAAAATGAAAATAAAAGACAATCACTTTAGTAATCCAACTGTTATACAAATACACACTATTATTACCTACTTAAGATAGATAATTATAATTAACTTTCCATAATTAATATAAGCTATATACAAATATAAAAGAAGTGTTGAAAACAACAACTTTGGTTAAAATAGTTAACTTACATATAAAGCAATCGAAAGACTTCAACACTTTCAACGTTTTTGTACAATTTAAACATCTCCTTCAGCTTTAGGATGAAAGAAGAACAAAAATAAATTAACTATTTGACGCTAAATCTTTCAAATATGCATTCAATAATACACTGTTTCTGCAATTTACTTGTTTTGAGCGTTGATCCTAATTTATTGCACGTATCTGACCAAACATCTTGCAAACTGAATTTAAAACTCTTTAAAATTTAGTTTGATTAACACTTCCCAATATATCAAAACTACGTTTAACAACTACGTGAACACATTTAATGAACATTGAATATCCTATTTTAGTCCACATGTTAAGCTTAAAAGGTGAGTATTATTATTATAATTCATGATCGCAGGTTCTCTCTCCGGGTGAGGCCGAGGATTGCCAGTACGTACTGTCCCGATTATATGTCCTAATGAACCTCTTGCTGGTGATCATGTGTTTGAAGATGTGTACATTGAATGCCGATCTTTTTTGTTAATAGTGTTGATATAGTGCTATTTATCTTCACAATCGATGCCGCAAATATTCCGAAATTGCTTAATTTTCCTCTTACCAATTCTTAAAATTTCATGGGGGTTTAAACATAACAATCGGTTTAAGAATCAATAAATATATCAATTGAGTGATGGATGGATGAATGAATGAATGAATAATTGAATGAATGAATGAATGAATGAATCAATCAATCAATCAATCAATCAGTTAAATAGATAAACCATTCTGTTAAGACGTTGCAACGAACAATTGTGCCTGTGGCCTCTATCATTTCTAAAAAACTTGATTATTTGTTAAAGTAAAAATTTGTAAAGAAAGTCGGCAGTACTTATATAAACTACAAACATCTTCATGCTTCATGTTATTATCAAGAACTAGACATTCGGCCGATTCCTTGGTTGGTGAACAGAGTCACCTATATATTTGTAAAATGTTACCTTGGTTTGCATTTCAAGTCTATTCTTAGGACTGTCTATTGTTTTATTGTCTCCAGCACTAGGTTCCTTATCAATTACAAAAACAATATTGCCGACAAATTGGGGGCCATCTGAAATGCAAGCATGAAAATATCACTTTTTGTAAAAGATTAAATGCGAGTTTAAATAAGTAACAATGGAAAGATAAATTCAAGTCTTCCTTAACATTGTCATTTTCTCTGAAATAACATGATTCGATAGACACAGAAAAACACGTATTTCTAATTTTTAGAGAGAGAAATAATGATTAGACTTTTTATTTTAATTCATGTTTAACAATGCGATTTTAATCATATTTCTTCAACTCAAAATTGCTATATTTCCCCAGTAGTTGTCTCAAAGTTTCGACTCTTAATAAGCTAAGGAGTATGAATACAAATTAACATGATATGCTTTTCATGGTTAATAGTATAAAGAAATAATAATGAAAGTGTGCTTTGATAAATGAAGTCACCACCTTAAGACGATAAAAATTAATTGAGCCTATGCTTCAATAAATATATTATTTGGTTTTCCAAAATCTTTCATACCTTACAGCTTTTGTTCTCTCACATCTCCCTAATTGTCTTTAAAACATTATCTGTGAGTTAATTTCATTAAGTTGATTTCAATTGTTGCTAAACTGTAACGAATGCTTGCATTTTTATGCTTTCCGAGAGTGCAGACTTTATTAAAGTTAAAACAAATGTAAGGTACCGTATGGTATAAATGTAATTTCTGTTTTAGAAAATACAACTGTTTAAACTTGGAAATAATTCTATTCATATCTATACATGTAAACAGATTTAAACTGAATCTTAAGGTGTTAACGAAAAATAAAAAGTTTGTTATATCATTTATCACTATGTTGATAGTATCAAATATATAACTTTGTATATTAACTATGTTTAACTATCAAATCAAGAACAATTGATTTATAACAAACATAAATCAAAATCCATTTCAATAGACATGTATTAATACTTAGGCGCATGTGTATGACAGATTTTATACATAAATTTTATAATTATTGTTCTGTAATTGAAAATATGAGACGGATCCCTATAAAAAAGTTTAGTTTTCATTTATGGGATAATCATTATAATTATCCTCCAGCTTTCATCGTATGCTACAAAAAAGCATATTCTTACTCAATTTTTCACAGACTCCACCAGAACGATCATATCCTGCGACACATATACAGCTATAGTTCCCTGGAGTGTTAACACAGGCTTCATTTTTGCCGTGGCAGAGAGTTAGACCCTTATTGCATTCATCTATATCTGTATATTAAACAATGAAAAACGAAAATATGTTAATTAATTACAAAATAATAAATATTAAAATGTATCTTCATTTCAGCAAAAAACGACAGCATCATGTTTAACAAAATAATTTGAAATACTTGGATGGAAGCTCCAGGTTAGATTTGTTCAACTATATTGTGTGTGAAATTGAATATATAGATGTTACAACAATACTTCATCAGAAAACCAAATCAAACGTCGAACCTTGGCAGTATTCTAGATAAAACCAATGCGGGTCCGGAAGAAGTTTCTTTTTAACGTCCCGTACTAAAACACATACATCAAAAAGAATTAATTATGTTAAATCTATTTCTGCGAGTTTTCCCCACAAAAAGCACTAAGTGACAATCAAGAGGTAAAAGATAATGATATCATACCATGACTCAACTACGTATTACGGGATATTAAGATGTAATTTCTGTGAAAAAATTGTATATGCAATAAACGATTCACGAATATTTTGCTCTTTATACGGTTGCATTGTCAAAGCATATGTCGGCTTACCATCACATGATCGGCGATCACTATTTAAATCATATCCATTGAAGCAGCTACACTTAAACGATCCATCAGTATTTGTACAATTCTGCTCACACTTGTCAGCTTCAGAGTAATCAACACTACATTCGTCAATATCTATAAAGCAGTGGATAAACATTCAGGATAACGAAATAAATATTTAATTGGTATTGCTGATTTTAATGATGTAAATTACAATTTGATTTGATAGGTTTGTTAGGGTGATTTGTAATCGAAAATGTCCGATAAAATATGCTGTTGATCAATGTCAAATCATTGAAAGTTCATATAGTTTGTAAAATAATTGAAAGAAGCAAACATTCAAAGCATAATTTGAAACATTTTAGAAATAATTCACTTCAAATTATTCATCTCTTAAAAAATACAACCATTGCAACTAAATATAACAAATATCAATATAAGTAAAATTCTATTTATATAGAAAACTTGACAGATAATATGTTTTCATATAATATTTCTGTTATCGAGTTGTCATTGTGCAATTTTGAAGTTTATCAATTCTTATTCTCCTATCTTATTTATTTGATCAATAACGATAATATAGGTTAAAATGTCAACATAAAATTAAACCGATTTAAGAAATGTTACGTAAGTGCCTCAACCTATTGTAGAAATCAAATATAGGCTTATAATTAAGACATTGAAGCTTATATGCCTATTTTATAAAACGAAAAACACGCTATCTGATATGCGTCATAAACAACATAAAAACAGGTTACATTTTGCGCTAGTTATCAATAAATGTTTTAAGCAGGACTTGAAATGTATGCGTTGATATTTAAAACAATCCTTACCCTGGTAGAACGGTATTATTCCTAATATTAGAGTAAACTATGATATGCGAAATCAATTTACAGTTCATTTTCATATTTCATACTCCATTTACTCGGCATTAATTGGCGAACAATGAAATGTTTAATGTTGTTCATGAAACTCGAAAGCTTTTGAATTATACACTTACTTTACGTACATGAACACATGAAAAAAGTATGCATGAAAATAGATCAAAGCGATTGTTCACGACTTTTTCAAAGTAATATGAAAACACTTTAACAATTTTATACGGAGCAAACTAGTTCATAAATTCTTTCAATGAAGAAGATGCGTAAATCAACCCCGATAAGACCGAACAAGCAACATTCTGGGATTGACTAGCGTGAGAAATTTCATATGGGCTAAACGACCAAGCTAAAAAATTGTGAACAATACATGTCCAAACCATTTTGTATTATGTGTACACATACAAATACATATCTACACCTTTTATTGCCGCGAATCTGAAGATTATGAAATGGATTCTCTAATATTCAGATAGATTTTTACCGTAAAAGGATATACGTTTTCATTTACATTTTTTTTTTTCAAAAAAGAAATTAATATGCACATCTATTCCAACATGCGCTAATATTCAAACATTCACCTAATTTTTAGGTTTTATTCTACGTTACCTGTGCATGTCTGATTATATCCAAGCATCGAATGTTCCCTTCCCTCTGGACACGGGCCGCATGGCCACGAAGGTTTTGACTTGTAAACCATCACATTACAAACATTATTGTAGCAGTTATATTTCGGACAAACATCTTTGACAACTTCGCAATACTTTCCGCTAGCGTATGCTGGACAAACACATGAGGCTTTCACCACAGTATCTGATAAATAAAACAAAACACAAACAAAACATGTCAGGTAATTAGTTTAATTTATGTCGTTTCTGTTTACAATAACGTTTTATTTTCAAAGTTCAAGGAAATGCCAGTACAGCTTAAAGTCATATATCTTACCCATTCTTGTAACAAAATGAGAAAGTATAAAAAGTAAACTAGTTCAAAACAGAACACGAATACCTGAAGGATGGTCCATAGATTTAGGAAATGAACAAAACGAAACTTCACTACATCCACAGTAATTGATTGAGAAACTGAAAACGCTGCTAGCATTAAATTTGTCGTATACGATGAATTTTATGCCTGTGTCTATTTCTCGTAAACCGGTGCCAACGTTCCATGTGAAAATTCCACTGTCTAAAAGACCAAGTATAAACGATATATGTAAAATATAGGGCAAAATTCAGATGTATATAATATAATTTTAATTATAACTGACAACCTCCATTAACCTCTAGTGTGCTATCATCAGTAAAATATAACTGTATTTTGCTGTCATGACATATTGTTCTTTGTTATTTATAATAAGATAAAATGTGTTTGTTTTCATGAAGTATTTAATTATGCATAAGAGGCTAGTAATGGACCATGGCAGAAAATGGTTTTAATTTGATACAAAAAACATTTGAAAGAGTAATATACTTAAAACCTTACATACTATTAGATATAGCATTACAATCAATCGACAATTGAGTTTTTGTTATATTCCTATGACAGACTAAAAATGTCAGATGTTTTACATTATATTGTGTATTTGTTAATACTGTATATTTAAATGCATCGGCAAAATTGCTAAAGTTATACCAAGACACGACCACACTGCAATGTCACAATTAAGATACAATACGTGAAGTAAATATACAAATGCATGAGACAAAATTCAGCTGGTATTCGAACTTGCGACCTCCCGATTACAACCAAAACTAAAAATGCTTTCGACAAGAGCTACAATCGATACCCTGACGCAGTTTGCCGATGAAAGTATGTATGCTCTTGCAGCACATTTTAGCGTATTGCAATAACCTGACTTGTTAATAAAAAAGCAATGAATTGCATCACAATATGCAATAAAAGGATTTTTTCAGAAATTTGATTTTTAATCTTAAAACTAATTCTACATATATTACTTAGGATGGTCATTAATAAAAAGTTAGAAAATGTAATTATTACCAATGGAATACTCTTCCTTTGTTAGATTTGTGACAACATCGAACACGAGCTTTTCAGGGCATGTATTATTATCCGTAACATATTCAGTAAGATTAATGGTAAATGTTGAATTGATATTGACAGTGATATTTTTTGGAAAATCTGATGATACATTCGGAGCTTCATTATCTGGAAAACATAAATAAATTGGAATTAAAAATATATTTATTGACTTCTTTGGCATAACTTACACAATAAAGATGCATTGTTTCGTATAAATATTCCTTAAATTGATATAATAATAAAGAACGAAACACATATCAACCATTTGATTTTTGAAACCATATCCTAACCGTAATCATAATTTGATTGAAATATAAAATATATAGTTGACATACTATCAATTTCAAGTACCAATATATACAAAAGTTATCATAAAATACGTTTACCTACAAAACAACACGAATTCCTCCAAATTAACATTTTTTCTATATTCCCTTTTTCCGTTCTAAGTAAAAACGTCTTGTTTCTCATTCAAGATTTCGTAAAATGTTTATAGAGACTGATTGCAAACAAATTCTAAAACATTTCTGGCGTTTAAGAATTCAGAAAAAAAATGAAACCATCTTTTACTTTTCAACAATATCATATACATAGATCAATTAAAAGCTCCCTTTACGTATACCAATCAAAACAATCAATGTTTAGAAGATAATTGATTGATAAAAATCATATTACGGAGAATTTCCCATTTGTAACGTGTTGCATTTGCCTCTTGCATCACATCTAATCCGCGGTTATAATCCCTTGTTCTTGCAATGGCAAGAAGGCACTGATTATTGGGCTCATTGTTCCAATAATTTCTACACGTTTTGTTGAAAAGTGAAATATTTTCGGCTGTAAAGGTTTTGAACAATGCCGTCAAGTTGCCAAGTTTGTCTTCAAGGAACTCTGGTCTTGAATGATGTTTGTTGTAAATTGTAAAATTTTCGCCAGTCTGTTTATACATGAAAACACTCTCCGACTCACTCCGTAATGACCCTAGCAATAAATACACATAAACATGTGATTTTATACACAATTAGGTTGTTTAAATCTCTTCTAAACGTCCAATCACATTCAGTATTACAAATATAAAATACCTCTTATCAAAAATGCCCATAACTGATACAAATACGATCGTATCTCACAAGAATCGTTAGATGAATGTACATTAATGTTTAGGGGTAATACGTAACATACATACCGATACATGTTGTAAAATACGGACTTTCGAAAATAGAGTATGTTCTAATCGAGCAAAGTAAGCAATATCTGCTAGATATTAAAACCAATTATGTTTCCATTAATAAAATATAAACAAACAAACATGTTTATTTAATCCTTCGTATCAAATAAAGTTCAGATGTTAATCATTTGAAATCTAGATATAAATATACTGTACATACAAACTCTACCGTCGAAAAGTGTTAGTAACCTTTTGACGAGTAGATAAATTATATGTTCATAAATGTGTTTATAAATCGAGAGAATCGGAAACAACGTACATGATTCGCCAAGTTGAAAGAATGATAATGCAGGTGCATTTTCAGAAACTTTTGTGTTGTTTCTCATAATGTAGAAACCATCCTCCCGATGTCCTACTAGGCCTGTAATGTTTGTTATATTTGCCCTAGAGTTTCTGATGATCTGTACACTCAGGAAATTGTCAGTGCCAAACTCCAGCTATGGTTAAAACACAGAAAAATAAATAAAATGCACACTTGAAAAAGGTTTTATTTAAACTCCAATACAAGACATGTTTTATTTCAAATGTATTTGAGCAACTATTTTTTTTTAATATTAAAACGAAACCCAAAAATCTGGAACTAGCTAGTATGATGTTAATTAAGTAGGCATGATCACAGAAAGGTCAACCCTAAGATGTGTAGGCTGAAATGTAGTCATTCTATCCATCCAACAACTACCTTCATTAGTATCTTTATACTTATCTTTTGTGCTATAAACAAAACCCGCAAATCAGCTTAATTTTTAGCAAATAAGCTTAATTTCAGACGTTTTATAACAAATTGATTTTAACTTTACTTTTTTTCAATATGCTTATTTTAAAATCTAACAATACCTTCTACGTTTATTTTTATGGAGGAATGCACAATTTAAAAGAAATAAAATGAAATAAAAATCAACCCTTTGAAAAATCAACTTCATGTAAATACCTGTTTGATATAAGATCCGAAACCACAGTTTTGTATAATTATTTTACCACCACCAGGAATCACAACACAGTTATATCTTATTGGAAGTTCACAAGGATAAGGTCTCCCATGTACTAACATTGATGACGCATTACATTTGCTGTTATATGTACCATTCCGAACAAATTTAATATCATCTGCTTCCCGATCGTAATGAAGCTCTATTTTCTCGTGTGACGTTTTTTTTGTTTTATCCTGAAAGAAAAATAAATAAATGAAAACGTAAAATTACAAGCCGAATTGGTGTTCTTTTTTCGCTAGTCTTAAGTTTCATCCTAAATATAGACATAAAATGTAAACATATCTATTTTGTAAATGCTTCTTTATCTCACACACTCTTGACTATGTAAGTCTACACCGAGGTTTGCATATAAAACTATAACATTTTCCTTTCATCTTCAAGACAAAACAAATGTGCAACATACATGTACATTATTGTACAGTCTCCTCTTAAAAACATTACATTTCAAATGTTAAAAAAAATACCATATGTTTAAAGAATATTTAGAAAGGTAAGCATAGATAAAAAAAATAGTTGAGATTTGAAATTTGGATATGTCTAGATGTCGTTGCTAAAAAATTATAATTTTGCCATAAATTGATACTTTAAATGTCAGATAAACGGAGTGTGCATGCCAGACAAAAACAATTAATAGCAATATATCTTAATTCAATTTATTCTCTGTCCGTATGCATACTTATTGAGCACATGCACAAGGCAATGTAAGTTTCATAATAAAATAGGCCTTTTCATATGGATGAAAGGTCAAGATTATACTTACAAGCAATGCAAAGGCAGAAAAATATGTCGCATCCTTGTTTCCCGGCACGACATACTCTGTTCGAGCTTGTATTTCAAAGTTTCTGAAGTAGCCAGAAATAATATTTCATTGTGGAAATTATATAGCCTTATCAATGTATCATTATATAGACATTTTCGCTTTTTGTCTTAATGAGAAGATCAATGCAAATAAGTCAATAAAAATGAATGCTACGACTATTGTAACTGCTGGTAAAACATACATTCAAATTGCCCGGGAAATCACTTATTTAATGTTGTTATGTACAGGTAACCTTTACATGCTTAATACATATGTTTGAGCACACTGTAAATTGTGAGGTAGACATTTTGGAAACAATGAAAAACGTAGCAAAGGTAAATGATAAAAGATTTTAGTTTGTAAGTAATATCTACCTAAACTTCTGACTATTCTTATAATGTTGAATAAATATAGGATTTAATTACCACTGTATTCATATTGCTAGATTTAAAGAAATATATAATTTGGATGTAATAGAATTAAAGGTTTCTATCAACACGAGTATGTCAAATATGTGTTTGTCAAAGAGCTTCCCATGCCTCAAACGGTGATTTGAATAGCTGTGTTTTTATTTTAATTATCTCGGAATGAATTAAACTACATGCACTTACTTCCCGTCTGTCAGAAATACATATTCACCATGACCGTTAAAATCATATTTTCCTCCATCTAATGTCTGTACGACAGGATCTCCTGATGACATTGCTGCCATAAAATTATTTTGAATTCATTAATATGTGTATTGATATTTAAAATACATATCGATATCTTCTCCACAATTGTCATTATTTAAAAAGAATAGATTTAAAAGCAAAACATAAAAAAATGCAAAAATCCTACAGACAATTTTTATTGCCTTTGTCCCAAAAATTTTTAAAAAATTCTTAAAAAAATCCCTTGTAGTTTATGACTAAAATGGTTGCCCAAAATCAAATAATTAAAAAAAAATTTGTCAACCCCAGTTTTATGAAATTTTTAAACCCAAACAAAAATGTGTTTTACTACACTTTAAAATGAAAGACGTTTTTTAAAAAGGAAAAATTTTTCTCATTTTTTTTGGGTCAAAGAAATTTTTAATAACAAGTGATAAAAAAAAAAAACATTTTATCTTTTAAATTTACATACGTTTCCCAATTTTTTAAAAAGGGGAAAATTTTTTTTGGGGGCATTGCCAAAGGGGTTAACGCCCCCCCAACTTGTAACCCCTAAAATTTACTGGCCGCGTGGGTTTAAAAACCCTTGGGGGAAAACCCGTTTTTTCCGCGAGCAAGAAACTCTACTCTCATTATTAAGTACCTGTTGGTTCCAGGAACTGTTTTAAGATAGTTTCAATAAGCTTATAAATAATCAAACTAAAATAAGTAAGCATTAATTTTAAATGTTTTTGAAATAATAGTCATTGAAGGCGTGTTGTTTTACAGAAATAATACTTACACACAACTGGAGGAACGTATGTACTACAATCATCAGGTTTATTTATTTGATGAATGATTCCCCAAATTCTTTAAATGCATCGAAACCATTTCCCCCAACACATTGTTAGCTTTTTCCCAAATTTCCCTTTTATTATATTCTAGAAAAGATACCTGCCCCGGGGCTACCCAAATTTCAAGCCCACCGCTTTTACTTTAAAAATTAGACAAATGCCCCTAAATTGTTTCAACGTCACATAGTTTTTCGTTATGTACAACCATAATAAAATATATTAAAATTTTAAAAAGCGACTACTGTTTTGACCTTTCAAAACTCGAGTTTTCATCAATCATTTTTTTCATTTTGGTTATAAAAGGTCAATGCTGCAATTCCCTTGATTTAATAACTTATAAAAAGCCCGTTTAAAAATCTTTCAGTTTAAAACTTGAAGGGAATTTCAGCCTTTTATTTAAAAAAATAATCCCTTTTTTTTTAACTAAATTTAATTCATGATAAAATTTTTCCACTGCTAAATCCGTATTAATTGATATTTGCAATATGCCACTTGCTTTGTTGTTCAGGCTATACAGGCTAACATATATTAATACTGAGTCATTTAACATATAAATACATTTCACACATTTTAATATATATCAGAATATATTTTATAAACATGAATCCCTGACACGTACCTTCACATAAAGTCATTAAGTTCAAATACCAAAATGTGATATTTACACCATATTACCTTGGATATTAATGCTTACTTTCGTTTTGAATATATTGTCAATAACTTACCTATAGCAGCACATTTGCTTGACACCGTCCATAAAGAACCACTGTTTATAGCAGTTATTAACCTTTTCAAACGTTTCATCAAGTGCAATAATTTGTTCTATGCAGGGACATGGCTCTGCTGTAGCATGGCCAGAAGAGATGAGATCTCGAATAACTCTATCAGCTGTAAAATCTTGACATGACAGTATATCTTTATCCGCAACTGTAGAAATAGAGACATGCAATGTATATAAAATGTGATTAAAAATAACTTTTAACTTTAAATATATGTAAAAGGTTCAACCTTGCATAATATTCTATATTTTGCAGACAAATGTTACAGCACTTCCCGTGATATGCTTAAACAATACATGTACTTTATTTATTTGAATTGTTTTTCTATGTACCTTTAAAACCACACTGACATCATAATTATAGCAATTTTTTTCTCTGACTATTGTTAAGAACACTCTTCTATGTTTCCACATAATACTATTAAATGACACGATTTATTTGCTAGTTTTCAATTAAAGGGACAAAACATTTATATATTGTACATCAGCTTAACACTTGTGGAGACACTGTTTGAATTTTTTGCTTTGTTGCGAAACATCTTTATTTACTATTTGTTTATCAAATGGTAATACAATGTTTTCTTATCTCCATTTGCATACAATGTACTGTACATCTGTCTGTTTTTATTTTATACGGGTATTCAATATTTGAGAACCAGGCCTAAATTAGTCCTGCGTAAACGACACTTATCTACGTCTAAATAGATATCTTAATTTTTATTTCTTTTGACCCGATTAGTATAGTGCTATGTGGACGTAGATTTGAAAACTTTAATAACTACTTTCTGTTTTTTGTTAGTTTATTCTGTATTATATTTGTAATCGTGTCGTTCACGTAATAAAAAACACGTTAATTAAAAAATACGGATTCAAAAGGAAACTTTAAAAGCTTTTCTAAATACTCTATTCGTTATTTTGTTGATAAAGAATTAAATGCATCGATCTCCTCAGACATTCCAACCATAAAAGTGATATACCACGTTTTACTTCACCAAAAGATAAATCATGTGTATAAGTGGATAAACGTCAATCTAATGACGACGTTGTTGACCAATTTGTCAAGATTGCGATGGACTTGACTGTCTGAATCTGTCTGAAGTACTAAACTGTATGAAACTTTTAGGTTTATATAAAAGACCTCAAAGTAAGTGCTTCAGTATTTATACTTTGCATATTTAAAGTTTATATGTTTAGATAATTTTAAATGTTATTTAACTCTGTGTTGAGACACGCATCTCCATATAAAAGAGCATCTTAATATTTCGATTTTCCTATCAGTCGATTTGAATAGTGTTTTGCGGAAGTAGATTTGGTCCTCTTTTTATAATAAAACATACTCTCTAAAACTGTATACGTTTATTGTAACGTTCATTTTAATGCTCAAATAAAGGACTTAATTGTTACACTTTGTTATTTAAGCGTTTATATGTTGTGAAATCGGGATCTTTTAAATTAACGTGTAAGGCATTATCATTAACCAATACAAGCGTGTCAGCACGGCCTTTAAATAAATAACACCACGGTGTCAGGTTCTTGGCACTGTTATTGGTCAGAACGAGAACTAGTATTCCTCTTTTATTTCCAAATTCTTATTCGTCAAGATAGTCATTTATTTTGCCTTTCTCAAGAAACTTGTTGCACGGCTGTGTTGTTTCATGTTTCCGTTTTAAGCCATTTTACGCTTGCGTTAAACATGGCTTGTTATAGAATAGTTACATTTTAAACTTAAAGGGCCTATTCTTTTGCACTTTTAGTTATCATTTCAAATCTATAACATTCATTTCCATATTTTAATTTGATTTTTTTAAAAAAAAATAAATATCATAATTAACTGTTATCTACTTAAAAATAAAATAATTTGTTATCTTGATCTAATACCTATTTATTGTTACAAAGCTTTAATATATGCGAGTAATGAAGATGTTTAATATCATTGAATTAATATTTGTATATATTTTTATCACGTATTATTATTCAATTTTATGACCTGAAATATTTTATCCAATAACAAATTCCTGTGGTTACTAATGGACATATTGACACAACCAAATCAATATCCTATCTCCTTCCCATTCCATATTTGTGTTATTAACTACCATGCCACGCCAAACCAAATCAATTTAGTTATGATAAAAATGACATTCCAATGTTAAATGGTCATGACTGTAGTTTTTATCATTTTACAGGCTCTCTGATAAGTTAAAATTTCTAACATTTTTAATGAATCTTGTAACTGAATTTTTCGAAAATCTTTAGCGATAACCAGAAAGGTCGAAGTCCATTTGGTTAATATCATTTTCATCGACATACCGAAACATGCATATATTTATTAAAAATCCCCAAACGTTTTGATAAGAGCATATAAGCCTCTCTTATATGAATTCTATTATATTAACTTAAAATCATGTACTGCTCTGTTTTATATGGTAAAAAAAGACAACCATTCAAAGTCGATTTTACTTTACATATTTATTCATTATTGTTTCATAAATTAATACGTTTACCAAAACACAATCACCTTTCAATAAAACATGTGACGTTTTTTACATGTATCGGCTAATTGTTTGAATATACATCTGTTTTGCAATTATTAAATTTAATTCTTGAAGTGAAGACACATTATGCCTTTGTACAAAGCTAATAGCATGATCAGACATATCAAAAATTGCCGTCTGACGCCGACTTTTGACTTCCAGTTCATAAATGACGTCATGGTGCATGATTTGAAACTTGAATGTGGAAAAACATGAACAAACCATATGTATACATCATAGCATGTGAAACAAACGCAAATCTATTTTTGTAGCATATTTTATATTTAAATATCAATACAAATATAATTATTGTTAAATTATTAATCAATGAAGTGTTGTTTAAGAGTGAATAAACGTAACATTTAGCTTAATTCTAATAATAATAATAATAATAATAATAATAATAATAATAATAATAATAGATATGATATTAAAAATTATACAACTCCGTTTTTACACATATCATATCGGTAAGATGATTGTGTTAACAAAACGATTATTAAGTTTAATTATTTAAAGAGTTTGCAAAAAACCCCAAAAGAACAAACAAACAAAAAACAACAACAATACATACCGTAGTCTCCTTTTACTATTTCAAGCGGTAACAAAGTGATCAGACTCACTAACAATAATAAATCCATTCCTTGTGATATTTACATCTAAAACCTTTTTTTACACAAATCCTTATTTGCTTTTGTCAAGTTCAGTCTTACTCTCTAAGTCACTCTCTGCTCTTACAATTTAGAACTGTTTTTAAAATATGGTTATTATGTGATTTGGATGCCTCTATATTATGCGTAACAGCACTCCGAGTTGTCATCCGCAGTATTTTCATTCAAACTGATAACCTATATCATTATCCGCCAGGTCGGCAGACTTTATCTGGTACTTAAATAGAAGGACACATTTTATCTTAAATTCAATAATTTCATCAGTTCTAATGTAATCATTACTTAAAGCAGTTGTAGTTAAGTTTCTCTTATAATTTAATATATTTGTGATATAAAAGTAAATATTTATGATGCGAAAGGTAGAACATTCGCCTACTTGTTTTGTTAAAGTAATCTCTTGAAAGTGACTACTTGCATGATTTCCTTGCCACAAAAATACGGACAAGAAAATAAAAAGTACGGAACAGGGACAGGAAGATTGGGGATCCTGTATGCAGTGTATAGTCTTTCCGTTCGTTTTGTTTCTTTCATTTTGAGACTGAACGTTAATTAGTTGACACTAATATTAAGCCAACATGGAATACATCTGGCATTCTTGACCATCTTTGAAGAAAGGTTTCAAACTCTTCCATTTCAGAGACAGACAAAAAATCAACATTTTAGACAGACAAAAAATACAGAATAAAAAAGGCAAAAGAAAGAAAGAAACAAAATAATGATTGTTAGAAAGAAAGAACACGTAATCCAAAGTAAAAAAAATAAACATCGTTAAAATTTGTCAATTAATTTACGAACTTACTTTATAGAGAGTATAGCTTTGAGTAAATTAAAATATAACAGTCCTACAAAAGATTCAACATCATATTGAAAAAGTCTTTGCAAATCATTTCCAATCAAATCGACTATGTGTTATATTACAGTATGTAATGTATAATTACTTTTTTGACAGATAAAATATTCAGAAAAAAAACAATGATTCGAAAGTTTTCTTCAAGATTGTCTTGATATTGCATAAAAAAGGGATAAAAGTTTATGTCCGTCTTGCAAAACATTTAATCTTTTAATAGCACTACTTAGCTATACGTGACATTTTGTGAAAGTGTTCGGCGGAAAATTAAAAGAAAAGCAGAACGTTTCGAGTTATATTTTTTAATTTTTATATTCGCTTTATTTGAGTTTCATCTCTACCTAGGTTGGTCGAATACTTCCAATTTGTAAGCCATATTAAAAAAAACTGCTATAAATTTATATTGTTGCCTGTTTGTTCGAACTTGACAGCTACAAACTGATTACTTTCAGTGCACAAATCGAAACACAAGCAACTGCTGCATATTATTGTTTCCTTTTCAATTTTTGTTTTTTTTATCAGTCAACGTTTTAATTTGCATTCATTTAGGCAATTTAATCACAGAAAAATCAACATTTAATTTCCTTTTAAATCAATGTCGTGCCCCTTTTTTGACGAGTTTAAAGTGCTTTAATTTCCAATACTGTTTAAAAATCATTCATGGAATGACGCAAGATAAAAATGAGTCAGACTTTAAAACCTGGCCACTTGTTCACAAAGAAACTACCAAATGATCCTGACATTATATTCATTGCTTCGGAAACATTTACCGACGTACGCACTGTGAATGATAATTTAAAATGCCACTTCAATAAATCTAGATCAAAGTAGAAATCAAGAATTAAGAATGAAGATCTAAATTTGGATCATTTTTCAAATTTTTAGTTCACTTAAAGCAGTTATGAAATCTTTTTTTTAAATACTGTATTTTACCCTGTTTCAAGTCTAATGTAAGGAAAGCATTCAATGTAAAAACTACAACTTAACAAATTGGTTACATTTTGAAACAAAGATTTTAATCCTGAATCTTTCAGTGAAAAGATGGCCTGATCCAAAATTGCGCATATGTGTAAATATGCATTTATTAACTGCAAAATTTATCATTTTTACATGAACTTTATAAGGCTAATTACCGACTTATGCAACGAATGAAAAACTGACAGGGCCACAAGTGATTATATAAAAAATATAAATAGAAAAAAAAAACAAAAAAACGAATGCGTTAGATATAATAATTTTATTAGTCTAGGACAAAAAATGTTATATGAAGGTACGGGTATTACATATGCTTCACCCAAAGGAATATTATTTTCTTGCAATGAACATGTTTCTTAAAACATATAACATTTGAACACATTTATTTCATGGTGTCAATTGAAACTGTTTAACAGTTTAACAATACAGACAAAAAAGTGAAAGAAAAACTCAATTATAAAGTCATGCCTCCCTACACGATATTTGTTCGTCTTTTCCATTTAAGTCAGTAAATTGTCGTTTCAAACAATCAATTTCGTATTCTGTATGACTATAGTAGTATTTAGGAGCGCCATTCTACTTGTTTAAGTTAATTATACCCGGTATATATATCATGGTACGTTATTATTGATTGCTATGTATAAGTTACATAAGAAATCTCAAACTATCTTTTTTTGCTTTTATCGGGCAGAAAAGTGATCAGCTTTTGGAAAAAAAATCGACAATTAACTTCTAAAGTTTCTGAGAAAAAAATGTGTTCTACACAAAAGACAAAAAAAGCCGACACCAACGACTTTGGCGACATCGATAGAAAGTATCAAACAAACGAACACGCCCTCACACACAAAAAAGAAAACTAATTCAAAACCAAAATATACTGGGGTCCTACATATTTACCGGACAATCAGTTTACCGGACAAAATTTATTCGTATCAAATAAGCGCTTTATTTTATTATCGATTCTAAAATCATCCGGTCTGGATCACACAGATGCTTTCCGTTTCCAAGTGAATCACAACAAAACCGCTGTCAGGTAAATAATATTGATTCAATTCTATATTAACTTACATGCCCTTTTGTTTACTATGTTATTTCATGACCTTGTCACGTGGGGGAATGATAATATTATGCGCATGCGCAAATATTGGGGCCCGTATTGTGTTATTTTACATAGGTCATTGCATTATCGTAGCAGACGATATAGTCATAATGAACATTATGACAAAAATAGTTGTATTCAAACGATATTTGATTTAGTCAGTACAATTATATATTTTGATGTAGTCAGTACAATTTTTCTTCGTTTTTTTTTAACAAAGAAATGCATATTGAAAACTAGATCTATATCATGAAAAAGGGGTACGCCCAATTTTTCAAACCAAGGGAGGAAGCTCTTTGTATTACAGTCACACAAATATAATGAGTTGTCTACCTTTTTCAGGATTAATGATGACCAAAAGAAAGCAGTATGACGGTGAACAAATGCAAAGGACAATATCAGCTGTTAAACAGAAAAAAAATGAAGATAAGATTAGCTGCTAAGGAATTTCAAGTGCCAAAGTCCACTCTGTCGGACAAGTTGAAGGGCAGGTACAAGGGCATGAAACCTGGCCCAAGGACTGAGCTGACTGATGAGGAGGAGAAAGCGCTTGTTCATTTTCTTCTCTATATGGCCAATCAAGGATTTCCCTTGACAAGATCAATGTTTTATCATTGACATCATTAAAAAGTCTGGTACGCATTCATTAAAAAAAATATCGTCATAAAATTGAATCCCCTATTCAGTACATAAATTGTTCATCTTGTAATAAATATATTTCTAGTTGAAATAAACGTAGATAAAATTATCTTTAAAGTCCAAATTATGTAACTTAAAAATTTTATCAACATATTTGTAGTTATATGGGCATCCGCGCAGTCTGATCAGGATTCATGCTGTTCGCTATCAGTTTCTTTACTTGTTATAGGGTTTGTAAGCGAACAGCAGGGATCCTGATCAGACTGCGCGGATGTGCAGGCTGGTCTGGATCCATGCTGGTCGAAAACGCATTGCGTTGGTTTTGTCATGACGCGGCTCATATACTTTTTTATACAAAAAATAACAAATCAGAAGTTGTCATATTGTTATATCTGTATAAAACTTTATTTTAAGGTCGCACAACATCTTTCAACATGCAAAAGGGTCCATCTGATGGCTGGTTCCAGCGTTTTATGTCGAGACACCCGGATCTTTCTTCAAGGAAGCCGGAAAATTTGGACAAAGGCCGCATGTCCATGTCAAATTATAAAGTAGTTGGAGACTACTTCGAATTTCTGGACGGAATATTGGGGAAATATGGCATTAAAAACAAGCCTAGCCAGGTACTGATATGCGCTTGTTTTGTTTGGTTGTTTGTTTGTTTCATTTTACGTCTTTTCCCAACAGTATTTCAGTCATACAGGCGGGTAGTTTCCTAACCATCGTTCCTGGAGAGTTACACCAGTACTAGATTTCCTTCCTCCGCGCTAAACTACCAAAGCATCTTCCGGGGATCAAACCCACGCCAGAGAGGTAACTGGATTAGAAGTCATCGACTCTAACCCCTAGACCACGGAGGCGGTAACAACATTATGTCTTAAATATGAAAAATAATGAAAAACACAGCATCCTTACAGTTTAATACATAAGACAACCAATAATAAGTTTTTTTTCCTAACAATTACTTTTGCATATTTGCAGATCTTCAATTGTGACGAAACCGGGTTCACCGGAAAAGAAATGCCGAGAGCAAAAGTATTCGGTCCAAAGGGAAAGCATGTGTTTCGTCAGAAGATATCGTCCAGTGACCACATCACCGCACACCTGTGTGTGTCTGCAAATGGCAGATTTCTTCCTTCAATGATAATCTTCCAGGTAAATAACTAAGTTAGAAAGACGAAGATGTAGAAGATTCGTCATTCCAGTTTTCATAAAAGTATTTTAACAAAAGTAATTAGATAATTAAGTTTATGAATATCGCCGTGTTGTCATGCTACATTCATTTCAAAAATCATTTTAACAAAAAACATGTACTATAATTGTAGATTATAGGACCATTAAAGGAAAGATATGCAGCTGTCGTTGCCAGTTTGGGACAAACCGGTTCGTCAATGGTAATTGGAAAAGCAAGGTTCCCATTGGTACTTAAGGTAAAAGAATAATATTAATAACTAATAAAAGATAAATAAGTGATACTACAATAAAAGTTGTACATTTTATTAAGTCGGACTTTTCCGATACATAATATCTTAACGTTACGATAGGTCCGGTCCGGTAGTAGAATATTGTTTAATAGTCGGTAAGCGAAGTCAAATGTATTGTTCAAATGCAATAATAATAATAGCCGTCGAGGTTTTGAATTGAATGCAAAATATTATGTGTCGATTGGACCGCATAAATAAATTGTAGATTATTTTTGATTTTTTAGCATGCATTAGACAAGGCTACACCAGCATCTATTTCGGATGCCTTTGCAGTGACCGGCATATGCCCTTTCAATCCTGATGCTGTTGACAAGTCACAGTTGGTTGCAGCGTCATTTGAAAAATGTTTGTGCTTAAGGTTCTAAGTTCTACATGTATATCACAAGAGATAGATATATTTCATTTATGAGCTGTTGTTTGCACTTTTAGAGATTATTATAAGTCATAATATACTCCATTGGCATTAATTGAATTTGTGTCATTTATTGTAGACAAGCAACGTTCTACGGACAGTGACAAGGATGTTGTAACGACGTGTACCACGTGCGGCTCTTACGCGAGAAACCCCCTTGTTGTTCATGGTTTAATTCCCCAGGAGTTGTCTGATATATTAATGCCGCCACCAGTTAAACCACAGCCACAGAAGAAAAGTAGGCGGCTAGTAACAGAAGCAAGACTGATAAGTGGTGCAGATATGCTTCAACAACTTAAGGTAAAGTTCAAGAATTGTAAATTCAATTTACATCAATATAATTACTTTCAAAAAACAATGAATTTGTTAACGCAAAACTATTCATTCTTATCAAGCGTTTCTTTTGCGCAACGTCTCGATGTACTCTTGTACATTGCAGGAAAAAGAAGAAGAGGAAATTAAGAAACGCGAGGGTATCGAAAGAAGGAAAATAGAATTGAAAGAAAAGAGAGAACTCAAAACTAAAATGGAGCAGGAAAAGAAGGCTAAAAGAGAGCAAGAGAAAGAAGAACGAGTGAAGAGAAGAGAACAGCAAGAAGAAGAGAAGAGGCAGAGAAAGATTACCAGGGAAGAACAAAAACAAAAAAGGAATAAAGAAAGAGAAGAAAAACGAAAGCAAAAGCAAAAGTCGACGGTAAAAAAACCTTATGAGCAATAATGCTTTCTTATATCGTACGGACATTATGTTTTGCGCAAATGTTTCGAGTTTTTTTTATTTGTGATTAATTCCGAAAATTATTAGTATATAATTGAAACATAATTTGCAATTCAGAAAATGCCTTGCCACATTTTTTAGTCATATTAAGTTTGTACAAGTTTATTGACAATTAAAAATGCTTTTGATGTGTTGTAGGTTCATGTAGCAGAGCATCTTGCTGCTAGCTTCTATGCTTGTGATGTATGTGGAATAAGCGGTGAAGCTGATGATGAAGAGCGGGGAATCGCGTGGTATGGCTGCGACAAAGACTGTTGTCAACGCTGGTACCATGATGACTGATTAAGTCTTGCTGAGATGGAATGGGTACTTGAAAGTCTGGAAGATAGTTCCAGCTGGTATTGCAGACTTTGCAAGCCATGGCTCTACCAAGAAGAGTAAATCTGTGCTTACTGTGACAATTGTGTAACTGTTATTTTATTGTTTTTGTGTTTTGATAAAAAAGCAAAGCAAAGTGATAAAAATTACTGAATATCAAATACGATAAATGATTTATAAAGAATTAATACGTTTATTGTGTTATTATTTAATAGCCCATACACCCCATGTACGGGCCTCACCATGGTTCGTGTCTATTTTTAGTGACAACTTGGGGTTTTCCGATATTTTAAACTTGCCTTTTATAAGTAGAAGTTCCCTTGATGAGTATTTTTGTGATTTATTTTGATTCACGACTATAAAATGTTATTAAACTAAATGTCCGGTAAATTGAGTTGTATGTACGTTTTTTTTGGCTTTTATAATGCCCCACTTTAAAGACGCTTTTAATGGTCAGAATCATAAATCTTAAGCATGAAAATATATCGAGAACATAAATTAAGAACCTAAAATTAGTTGGGTAAAATTTCATGATTTTTTATTGTTTTGAATAAAAGTTACAGCTAAAAAACCTCATATTTTGTCCGGTAATACGTAGGACCCCAGTATAGTTATGTATAGTTTACATTATATTCATTATTAACATAATTAAACAGTCAAATATGTATTATGAAAACACACATATTGATAAATTAACACACATATTGCACATTGGCACCTTGTGATATTTAAGTAGATAATACTTACAAATGACATGATAAGACTCAATATGTGACTACAGGAATTTCTAAGCATTTTCTTTAAAGGCACATTATGTCTCGGAAATTCATATATTTGAAATTCTATAGAATGACAATTACTTGCTTTTTACTTCGACACATCGACAAAAAATCAAAACGATTAATCAATGTTAGATACAAATAAAGTATACTGACAATAGTTTCGTCAGAATATTTAAAAGGTATATTACAAAAAGGATTATCTAGCTTTGATTGCAATATGTTTTGTTTTCTACATGTTTATTTTCCAGATCCTTTAAACAACTATACCTTTAAAAACGTTTAAAAACATATCTCAGATAGTTTTGATTTTCAGAAAAACAATGGTTACAAAAGAAAAACAAAAAGAATAATACGTAAATTTGAACAAGTATTTTTTTCATTTATCAAAATAAAATCGTTTCTTCGTTGAATGTGAAAAAATAAGAAGAAATCTATATATGTTTTTTTATAACTGTTCATCGATTTCATTGGTTAACGTTTAGGCTAGGACGAAAGATGCTTGATTTAGAAACGCATGATTGATAATGTGCACAACTTATTTGTTTGTTTTTTCAATCATATAATCACTCTCTGAATTCGTTTACATCTACAGTCTCGTTCAAATTTCGTAACATTTAAAGTAATCAGGGATAAGCAACGATGTTTTCCGAATGATATAACGATAATTGGACGTATCACGTTTTATATCACCTTTTATGTGTAAAATTAAAAGCGTTATGAAAAAACAACACCAAAACAACAGCAAAAACAAACACATTAAACAAACTAACACAAAAAAGAAAAGTGATCATACCTTAGAATGGCGTTTGGTTTTATTGAACAAATTATATACGAATATGTCTATTTTTTTGTTTTTTTTTGTTTGTTTTGGGTTTTACGTCACATCGACTTTGTATAGGTCATATCGCGACGTTCCAGCTTTACTGGTGGAGGAAGACCTCAGGTGCCCTTCCGTGCATTATTTCAGGCACGAACGGGCACCTGAATAGAACCACCGACGTTCCGTAAGCTAGCTGGATAGCTTCTTCACATGAAAGAATCCAAAGTCCCTGTCGGGATTCGAACCAACAGCGGTGAGGGGCAAGTGGTTTGAAGTCAACGACCTTAGCCACTCGGCCACGGACGCCCCTATATGTGTATTAATTTAACCATTTGTCTAATGTAAATGCAAATTTTACTAGCGCAATTTAGGTTACTTCCCCTTTCCGCGTAGGGGAACTATCAATATGACATACGCCGATGTCTTATCACGAATTTATCCTTATTGACTACCCAAATATCTTTGTATATTGCATTAAAGATAGTACACAGTAGCTCCTTAATATCGTTATCTTAATATTTACATAACAATCAATCTATAAAGAAAAGAGGGTCCTTAAATTTGAAAAGGTATTAACCCTTTACCACATATATACGCAAAACAACGCACTTTGAACCCCCCCCCCCCTTTTTAGGCCTCAAATAGTGAAAGAAATGTCCTATTTGGGCCCCAAACATAAGTTTTCGTTTGGGAAATGTTGCTAAAAAAATTGAGCACTTTTTCGGCGCCGCCCCCCATCCAAAAGATACATCAGGGGGTTGCCAGAGAGGGGATGTGCCCCCTTCTGTTAGGGGGGTTTGAAGGGGGCGGAGTCCCCCTCATCGCTAAGAAAATTTTGGACTTGTGAGAGGCTAAAAATGACCCCAGGTCGATCATAATGTAACGTTTAACCAACGCTGAAAAGCCTTTGACTCTATCTCAATTCCTTGAGCAGTTGCAGCACTTTGAAATAAATTTTGATGGGAAAAATCGAGGCAAAATAGTGATTTTTGTCAATTTTGAGATGTCCCCTCGTTGCCATGGTAACAGGAAATTTAAGACTGAGCATGTCGTTACAAAGGCAATGGTCCAGTTAACATTTGTGCCAAGTTTGATTAGTATTGAAGCATTTTTCATAATTTCATAGCAGTTTGAACTTGTAACAGGTGGCTTTTCAGTGAAAACGGCCATTTTTCACAATATGCTCATGGGGGAAAGGGTTAACAGATTTCATCTCGTAGAAACGCAACACAGTGATTAACGCTTTATCAATACAGCCTTTTCTATATCTGTTATTGATAAACATTTAAATACCAAACTCAGTAGTTGCGTTCCAAATTAAACACAGATTGTTTAGACAAAAGTATAATAAAAGATAAACAGCCAAACAAAGAGATATAAGTGGATTATGGTGTATAAGATAATTAAGGTAATTTAAAGTTCAGGTGATGGTATAATAAAAGAGTGTGTAGACATAATTGTTTGCTTCTTAAAAAGCAAAACTAGTGTAACACAAACAATAATAAACACGTTAGATACATAATTTTGTTGTTATCTGTTATGTTTGTTAGATAGGTAGATAGATAGATAGATCTAGATAGATAGATAGGTAGATAGATAGATAGATCTAGATAGATAGATGGATGGATGGATGGATGGATGGATGGATGGACGGACGGACGGACGGACGGACAGACGGACGGACGGACAGACAGACAGACAGACAGATAATAATAATAAAGATAATGATATTAATAATAATAATAATAATAATAATAATGATAATAATTATTGAAAGCCGGCATGGAAAACAACCATTGGACGTTGATAAAACATATTGTAGTATTTATTAGACATGTAGTTGAATGTTTTCACCGCTGTTCACTATTTTTCAAAATTGATATTTTTAATTATTTAAGAAATTAAATTTAATAAATATAAAACGTCTGAAATTTGAACATCGTTTCCTGTTTATATCTATATTTAACATTTCAAAGGTAATTATTATTTTTCTTTTATTTTTAACGTCACTGACAACACTAACTATATCAATTATAATGACTATAGTTATAACAAAAATAATGAAAACGACAAACGAAACAATTATCAATCTTATCAATCTATTAACAATAATGACGAAATGATGATAATGATAATAGTTATTAAATAATGCTCATACTACTTCTAATAATGAACTAAACTTATAATAAAAAAAAAAAAATTAAAAAAATAATATAATGAAAATGACACTAAATAATAATAATTTAAATCCGCCAAAGCGACATCTAACTTATTTTATTGTTATGTGAACTTTAACCGAACTCAGGCTTTACTTGTGATATTTGAGCAGTTTTTGATTAAGTAAACTTGAAATAAACCATTCAGGTACATAGTGTATAGATTTAATTATTGAAATGTTGATATTTTGTAGATTGTCCAATGTAATTGTGGGGATGGTGATGGTGATTATGATAATGATAATAATGATAAAGATAATGATAAAGATAATGATAAAGATAATGATAAAGGCAACAGCAAATGAAATATTACAGTAACTGTTGAAGATTATAAAGTTTTTTTACGATGACGATTATTACATTACTTCGCATTTTGTTTTGCATTACTTGCAATATCGACCGTGAAAAGTTCCCATAATATAGTGCCCAAAATTTCCAATCAATTTTTCGTATCGGATGTTTTTTTTGAAAAACCAATGCGCGATACAAAGCATTTAACAGACAGGGGGAAATAATATATAAGTTCCTTGACTGTCATCAGAGTTTCGGTAAAAAAAAAAATTGAGTAGAAAAGGAAGTTAAAAAAAATGAGTTCAATTTATCATGATATTTCTGCCTGTCACCACAGAGTGTAAACGCTTGATTGGAGTTTGCTGAGATTTAATATATATATATATTTTTCCGTCTTGCCATTAGACATATTTTGCCTAAAACGATTGATGTTTTTAATATTCTATAGAAAAGGCAAACATAAGTCAGAAGTTCATTTCCTTAAGGAAGTAGAACTGAATGTGACATTATTTGACAGAATATATTTCATGAAAGTCAACCTTAAGGAAATTGTAAAAAAGATTTTACGAAAAGTAAAAAAAAAGAAAACAACAACAAAAAAAAACGCAATTGAAGAAATAATTTACATGTTTAACTAGTTTGCAGTATTTCAGTATTTATTACCATATTTCTACTGCATGATGAACGCACTATTTTTGCATAATTATTATGACGCCTTTTTGGTTATGTTGGTAGATGATCTGTGCCGTTTGCAATTTGTAAATAACTTTCTTTTCACTTGAAAATATTTTACTTTTAAATGCATTTAAATGTTGATTGCTTTCTTAACCTTCGTACGCTACTGGAGTCCTAGGCTGAGGTGATATTAAACGTAAATAAGTTCTCTGTTTGAAACGTGGAACTTGACAATTATCGGTCACACAATTTCAAATTGAAAAAGATAAAACATGATATCCCCCTTGTTTATGAGAGCCCTACTCAGCTTTCGACCCCAACACAATACATCAACATTATTTAAAAATTTGCTAGCTTTCATACAGATTTCCAAATCGAAACCTGGGATTAAGGTATTTAACAAATAGTTTCTTTCAAACGCGTTGCTGTGGATATGAATTAGGAATTCATGCGATTTCAACGCCAGAATTTTGATCTCTGTGATGATATTTCTTTTGAACTTAGTATAATTTATGACATCTCTACAGTTGAGAATTTCCAAAGAAAAAATGTACAGAATAACTTTGATTACCTTTTCAAGATAGATTTGAACTTGAATTGAAAAATGAATTTGATATTGACTACGAACGACAACTTGACAGTTACTATACAGTTTTGATGGTTCATAAATCGGCCAAAAGTAAAACACCATGTCAGCCAATCACAATATTGCTATTTACTTTGCATGTTAAATCGCCCTAGTCTTTAATCTTACATTTTTAAATGTAATAATCAAATGTTAGAATATGTACAACTAAAAACAACAGGATTCTTTTAAC